AATTAAGAAACTATGACTCATGACTGAGGTAGAAAAATTAGGTACTTCAATTTGAAATAAGTGTTTGCGAGGAGAATGCCGTGTTGTTGAAAACGAAATAAAGGGAAAACGGGCCAGATCCGTGCATCCCATCGACGTTTTCCAGAAATATTTCAGGCGAGCAATTTTTTTCCGTCGCATCAAGCATTCGAGTGGGCAATTTTCTGAGATTTCTGAAGAAGAAGAGACAAAGTCGCCACTTATGATACGAGCAGCAAGACGTTGAACTGAATTTAAGGGCTTTAAATGGGTAGAATATGAACTATCATAGATAATTGCTCCACAAGTCTCATAGAGATGTTTTTTCAATTTGGCAGGGGCATCTCGAAAAGTCCGATGTATCACACCCAGCATTCGTCTGCATTTCATCGCGACTTTTTCAATGGGACTAGTACATTTTAGGTCATGAGAAATGTAGAGCCCGAGTAGCTTGATCTCACTCAGCCGCTCAAGGGGAACTTCTCCTAACCTGCCAATAGCTGGTGATTGAGAAATAGGCCTACGGTCGAAAATCATCCACTGATACCTTATCAATATTTAAGTTGACAAGCATCTTTTCACACCAAGTGTGAATGCTAGTTACTTCGGCTCGAAAGGAATCCAGGCTATTATCAGACGGGAGAGAGGTGAGGGTGAGGGTGTTTCGACGATTTGCTCGAAAGGCAGATTGCTGTTTGTTAGAAAAATTGTTTTTTTCAAGATGGAGAACTAGACGATTGAAAACTGATCTCTCAAATATCTTGCTAACATTAGACAGTAGAGATATTGGACGGTAATTCTCAACTTTTGATCTATCCCCTTTCTTAAAAATGGGCTTAACAATTGCCGCTTTCCATTGAGAAGGAAAAATGCCTGATTGGATTGATTGATTAAAAAGATGTTGTAATTGAGGGGCAATAATTGAAGAAGTCTTTTTTAGAAGTTCGACACTAAACTGATCGACTCCAGTTGATTTTGAATTATTCGCGCTCTCGGTGGCACTGCAAATCTCAGGAATTAAAAATTCGAAAGAGAGCAATTTTGGCAGCGTCTGAGATGGTTTAGGAGAAGGTCCTTCTAAGGTAGAGAATGATTTTGAAAAATGTTTGCTGAATGCCTCTGACTTCGCAGTATCATCGCTCGCAATTGCATTTCCGAAAGTGACTGTAGCAGGGATGTCACATGACTCCTTTCTCATTTTGTTGATTTCTGGCCAAAAGGTGGAAGGATCCTTGAATTTGCGAAAAATATCCTCCTGCTTTGTTTTTCTTTCTTTTCGAAGAGCTGCTGTTACTTCATTGCGTAGTTTTTTAAATTTCAATTTTTAGCGGAAGAAGGAGCTTGTTTAGCCTGGCGAAAAGCCTCGTTCTTCTTAGACATTAGCTTGCGCAGTGAACGCGAAGTTGGTTTTATTTCATTCATATTTCGAGCAGCAGATTTTAAAGGAATCGTTTGAGAAATATGAAAATGGACGTGTCGAGTACACACAGAACAGAGTTTTTCAGGATCGTTCTCTACAAAAAATTCCTGTCCTATTTCGAAGAGACCATTTAGCAGTCGAGGCCAGTCACAATTCTTGAAATCGTGAATCAAAAAAGGGGACTTTTCGACGGCAATGGTGTGGTCAAAAGAAAAATTTGCTAAGAGGGTATGATGGATGGATGACACTAATGGAGAATGATGTCGTACAAAAGGAGAATGCCATAATTCTAGGTAAAAAATATTATCGACTGATGATTTTTGAGTAGTAATAATTTTAGAAAATGCGTAATGCAACTCGAATGTACTCAACAGAGCGGACAAATGTCTACTATTGAATTTGGAATTGAAATCGCCAGCTAATATAGTACTTTCCCCGGAGCCCGAGTAGGTGAGAAAAAATTGCTCGAGTTCTGAAAAATAGTCTTTCGATTTACATGAAGGGATTTAAATTTAAAGGAGACGTTTTCTGAATGGCATCAGGACTATCTCTCTTCATCTTCTGAGTTTTCATTTTTAGTGAAAATTTCGTTTGGTGATTAACTTTTTTAGATTCTTCTAATCCATCCAGTGATAAATTTCAGATTAAGAAAGAATTTTATTTTATTCTCGTCTCAACAGTTTCGTCCTTCTTCCTACCTGTAGTGCTTATAAAAGCTTGGGTTTACTAATCAGACGTCTGTATGGAAAGAGACCTGATTTAATTAAAGTAACTGCACTCCGTTACTCTACATTAGCTCAACGTTGATTTTACATCAGGTTTTTCAAAAAGAAGAAAAGCTAGATAACTCATTCCCCACAATTGATAACTTCACTTCACCTTAGGTCCCGATTTTCTCTCGTAGGTACTAAGAAACGGTGTCGCAGAAGCCTCAGAAATTATCTTCACATCTTCGGAAAACAAACGTCCCCTATGGAGAGCTGCTAGAATGAAGAACAGGGCATAAGTTCTTCAAACTGTGAGTTCATTAGCTTTTATTTTACTGCTATAAACATTTGAGTTCTGCGAAGAACAAATGTCCCCTGTGGAGAGCAGGAGGATTGAAGAACTCAAAATGAGTTCTACATAAAGTCAAGGAATTCATCTCCACATATTTTAAAAGAACTCATATTCGATCTCTATAGGAGACAAATGAAAAACGCGATTTCTGTTTTCTAGAGAACGCAGATTTTTAGCAGTGCATTTCTGTGAACAAGACAAAAATAAGATGTCGACTATATCAAAAACATGAATGTAGTCAATTAAACAAGATGATCCACAGCAATGTGGAGAAGGAGACTAAATTTTTGTTTGACCCAGACAGGATGAAGAACCTTATTTTGAATTGTGTGCAGCCAAACCAGCATTAACTATTGGGGCAATAGATTCTGAAGATCATCTTCATCATGTAAGACGTCTAGCATATAACTATAGGTTTGAAATTGGAAAAATGTTTAAAATTGTGTTCTCTCAATGCTTTTCTTTCTTTCGGAACACTCGTTTCTTTAATTCTAATATTAGTTTTTTTGCTGTTGATTATGTATAGAATAAAAATAATCTATATGTTTCTGTTAATTATAATTAGTTTAGCGTGTAACATGAGAAATGGAAAATGATATGAAAAGTCAGTTAGTTTGCAAACGAGAATAGATAAACCTTTTTTTGTTACAAAGCTTTCGAGGGAACATTGTCAGGTGTCAACTCCCGTGTTGGCTCATTCATATCTCAATCGACAGAGTATATCAAGATAGTAAAAAGCCTAAAAGGATTTTTCTCCATGGCTCTTGAAGACTCGTTTTTCTGTAAAACTAGTTTTTTAGAAACTCTAAAAAATAACCGAAACCTTTCTTAATGAGGCATAATTGCAGTCTGTAAAGTTCTGATTGAAATGATACATCTCCCAGATGTATACGATCATTCTTTACAAAGTTATAGAATTTACAAGAAAAGCCCTAAATTAATTTCAATTAGAACAACATCTCTTATGAACACTATGCTTTATTCTATACTTATTTCATCAGTGAATCCTTAATAATGTCATTGTCAATGGGTTGTCAATACTCAGATAACTCATAATATTGGACATCTAATACATTATCTAAGGCTAAAATAGAAAGTAGTTTTGTGCAAAGGGAAAAAAGCACCACTTTACTTCACTGGAAATGATTTTAAAGTGTCTATGAAGTGAACTAGTGAACTGGAGACGAAGAACATAGAAATGAGTAAATAAATTAGAGAGACGTTAGCCGATGCATTTTTGCTTAGCGTGAAGACAAGCAAAGTTGTAGGGGTAGGGATTAATCTTACATGCACGTAGTAAATAAAACTGAGAGCGGTACAATAAATAGATTTGTCATATCCAATGAAATAACAATATCACAAATTTACTTGGCTAGAAGTGAAGTGGATGTCATTTGGAGTGAAGTGGCGGAGTGATATTTTTTCCTCTTAGTTTTGTGTGCTCTCCTGATTCGTTCTTGGATGTGCTCAAAAGACAAGAAAAAGTCGAACATTTCGATTTGTCAGGTCAAAGTCACACGTGGATAGAGGCATTACAATAATCAAATCCAATAATACAAATGGCAGTTGCCGACAAAATGTCCTAGATACCTTTAACATCTAAGGATGTTCTTTTTCTTGGAGTTGTATGGTAACATTGGCTTAAAGAAAAGTCACAGGCATGTGTCTTTAATGTATCTTTCAAGATGCTCACCTACGTTTAAATCAGAAAAGTGCACGTTGATAATTAGGAGAGTTTTCCGATCAAATATCACCTAAAAATCAATGTTAGTCGGATGCATCAGTTATTGTGTGACTCTCGTACATGGGGTGTTTGCTCGTGAACAAAGGTGACTTGATTCATATCCATCACTTTCTCTTCGTTTTTAAGGAGCGGAACACATGCTTTTCTGAAACTGTTTCTCTGAAACATCTATCACTCCATGTTTCTTCCATTTCTTCAGTAAATTAATGCATCGTTCTGACGGTGAATAACAAAATATTAGTCTACACCTAATTCCTCAGCATTTTTCGATATCGTTATCTTCTTGAATATCTTTACAACACATATATTGTGCAAAAGGATATATCTCATTGTTAGCTGAACTAATTATATTCAAACCTATATTTAATAGAAAAGAAAGAATGACAAAAAAATATATGTTCAATAACTTTTTCTTATATGTCACTCTCACCCTCGCATCTCTTACACACACACAGAGAGAGAGGAAGTTCATACAGTTAACACTAAGTAACAGAAACGCGAGTTTTTAATTAATGTTTAATTCACAAAACACTATACCATTGAATTCTATTTCAAATAAGTTTTAATTTCATATCTAGTCTTATATATGTATTTTTGATGAGACTTTTTGACTGTTTTATTAGCATAAAGAATCTCTTACATAAAAAAGAAAAAAATATATATATATAGACTATATTAGCACCTATTGAGATGAATTAGACAAATAAAAAAGAAGAAGAATAACAATTATGTTTCAATAACGGTTAATTGAAATAGTCACTAATTTAATTCTCTATTACAATCGATTTTAATCATACATTTATCACGCTTTTTTAGTGTATTCATACATAACAATAGACAATTGGATGAACATGTCATACCAACTACTTTTTTAAAATATTGACGAAAATTAATATCAAATAGACAATAGGCACAAATTCGAGTTGTTAAATTTAATAAAACAAATGGATGTGCTATTGAATACCAAAATAAATGTTTTGAAAGATAATTTTGTAATGATTGTATGTTAAAATTAGCATCTAATTTTAAAAATATAACAGGAAAAAAGAAGAATGATGTTTGAATACCCAATGAAACTATGAGTAAATCAAGACGATGATGTTTATCGGTTAATGATTCAATTTGATTACCTATTATAGAAATAGGTGAACGAATTTGACATATACTTAAACGTGTACGATAATTTTTTTTTTTTAAAATTAATGAATCAGATGATTGTTTACGTTGAGATGTTGATGTTAATGATTGAATAACATTTGAAAATGAATCAGAACAACTATTAACAAGTGGTGATCGATGAACATTATTTTGATCATCATCATAACTATGATGATTTTGTTTACAATGAAATAATTTTTGATATAATATTAATAGTGTAATAATAAAACAAGCAAGATAAATAAATGTATCAACAATTTCATAGATAATTTGTAAAATATATTGTGTCATTCTAGCTAAATCAGTTATATTTTCTAAATTAAATACTTTACATATATTTCTATTTGTTCGTCTATCTATTTCTGTATCAACACTAATCATAATAAGAAAGGCACGAGTAAAAACAATACCAATTATAAATAATAATGATAAACGACCACATAATTGACCACTAACTGTATTATAAGAACGATTATATTTTTTATATGTATGCATTAAACATACAAATAATATTAATGATGAACACATAAATGAAAATGATTGTAAAAAAAATGATAATTGACAAAATATAAATCTATTAATTAAATTTATTATATTATTAACAGATAAATAAGATGTTAAATACATTGAACAATAGATACAATCATTTATTGCCATTGTTAATAAAAGAAAATATGTTGTACAATGTCGACGATAAATTAACAATGTAATAAATATAATTAAATTTGTTATCATTCCAATTCCAGATAGAAAACATGAAGTTTTTCTTGTGAATAATTCAAATGCATCCGTTTGATAAGTAATAAACTTATAAGGATAATATGTTTTATTAAAATCTGTTATATTTGTATAATTTAATGAAATTGTCATTCTTTTTGTTTTTTTATTATAATTAATCAATTTTTAAAATATATGTAAAATTGAATGAAAGATAAGTCAATAAATCTCTATCGTGTTAGAATTTTAACTAAAATATAAAATAGACAAATGAGTATCAAATTAGATATTACAAGATATATATGAATAGTACTAAACTCTATTATTATTCTAAATATTTTTTATATTTGCCAAATATTTTCGACCCTGTTCTTTCTAGTAGTAACAACTTAACTCTCCGAAGATCAAAATTCTATTTTAATGTCTCCCTCTACATATATGTATATAATCGATATAGAGTTTACAAAGTTTAGCACAACTTATCTGAAATTTTTTAACATTTTTTTCAGCAACGATGATGAAAGAATTATGAAAGAAGAAAAATAAAACAGAATATAATCTGGCATAGTTTAAGGGTTGAGAAAAACCAGTCATAATAATTACTTTTCTGTTCTACTACTCTTTATCTTTTTCTCTCACCATTTCTAACCATAACTAAAAAGAAACTGTAATCAAGTTTACCATTATTATTATTTTTATTATTATATAGTATGTTATCTTGGCTAGTTTTTGAAAGTTGTACACTGTAAAAAATAAAGGGAGTCACCAGTGAGTAAAATCGTCTCAGTAGATAAAATGGATCCATTTAGATAGGTGACGGCTCACTAGGTCATCTCTGTAACTCAGAGATACACTACCACTGAGACACTGACCTCATATGGTCAAAATGACTTCGTGAGAAGAGTAAAAGTAAAGCTTTAAAATATAAAAATCAGACTGCCTATATAAAAAAAAGGGGAAAAGTAATTACAAGTTACGCCATTATGGTGGTGGCACCTGTAATTATTCCAAAATTCACATCTTCCGAGGTCTGAAGATGTGAATTTTGGAATAATTACAGNCCACCCTTTTTGTGTTCTCCTACAATTAAATAAAACAAAAACCCCCCCCACCCCCCCTCTTTTTTTTTTATTTTTTAAAAACCCCCCCCCCCCACCACCATAATGGCGTAACTTGTAATTACTTTTCCCCTTTTTTTTATATAGGCAGTCTGATTTTTATATTTTAAAGCTTTACTTTTACCCTTCTCAAGAAGTCATTTTGACCATATATAAGATGCACGTAAAGTGAAATTCAAGTGAAATTTATTTTTTGACTTTTTATACACCATTCGGCAGAGAATTTGAAGCTGATCACGAATATGTGTGTCTCGATTTTTTCCGATAATGTTTTCGGATCGAAAATCTCAAAAAGCTCAAAAGGTGTCAAAATCTCGAAAATCGAAAAATGTTTTGAAAAATGAGCCGTAGTTTTTTTCAGCGAGGAAAGGAAATTTCGAGAAAAGCTGAACATAGTTTTAAAGAGGAGCATCTGGCGAATCCATATAAAAATTTCGGCTCTAGCACCTCTACAAAAGCGTTTATTAGGTTTGCAAAGTTTCTGTGGCACTTTTGAGACATGCCGGTTCCAGCCACTGCCCAAAATCCATTTTTCGGTCTGAAGTTTTGAAAGTTGCGTTTCTAGACTCAGTTTTTCACGCTGAATCCGAAAAAGTTTGTTTCAGAGCTCCAGACTAAACGAATCAAAAACTACGGCTCATTTTTTAAAACTTTTTGATTTTAGAGATTTTGACACCTTTCGAGCTTTTTGAGATTTTCGATCCGAAAACATTACCAAAAAAAATCGAGACACACATATTCGTGATCAGCTTCAAATTCTCTATCGAATGGTGTATAAAAAGTCAAAAAATAAATTTCACTTGAAGTTTGGTTTACGTGCATCTTACTGACGGTACAGTTTTCTTAGTTTTCTCAGTGGGTAAAACGGTTCCATTTAGATGGGTCGATCAGTACATCACTGACCTACTTTATTTTTTACAGTGTAAATATGATTATTTTGAGAAAAGTTAGAAAATATAGCTATCTGATAATCTTATATTATTAGGATTAATGGGCAATTATTTCAAAAATAAAAAAGCAGGATAACAACTTTTTTTAAAACGCTGCTGTTATCGTGTTTTTTATCTTATAATCTTACCTTAAATTTTCAAATGCACTCAAACTAATAGATGAATAGAGCATACAACGGTTCTATAGTTTCATTTACAAATTAGATTTTCTCTTTCAATGATTTAAAAGAAAAATTGTTAACCTCCAGCTTATTTATTGTGCATAAAGTCACTCAATTGTTAAAACATATTATTAAATTAAAAACCTAATCAAATATATCTTATATAAATTTATAATTAAATGAAAGAAAGTATTTAATTATAGGTAAAGTTTTATGTTAATCCAAAAATTTATAGTTTCTATATAATATTTAAAGTAGAAAGTAGAATTTGTCTAACAATTCTCGAAAACTCTTGAAGAAAAAATATTTATTAGAGCATGTAATAAAAACAGAAAAGCATTACTCTTTGATAAATATTTTATTATGTAGGATGTTATATTTTATACACACAAAGAATTTTATATACGGTATTTATTCTCTGAATGACTAACTATTGAGTCTATATATTTATGAACGTATATTTAGTTGAATTGATCAACTCTCGAAAGACTTTCCGATTTATAAAAAGAAAAATATTTGGAAGTACATAGATCCATTAGTTCCTACAAGGAGAAAAAAAACAACGGTGGAACTCAAGGTGGTTTTTATACGCGGTTTCTTGTAGTCAGTTTGGCATAGTTTTTTTTTTCACGGTTTTAGTTGTTCATGCTTTTGTTTCCTATGGTTCCAATATGACAGTTTTGCTTTGACGATTTTAAAACTATTAGAAAAACCGTCCAGGTAAAACTGTGCAAGTAAAACCGTCTACTCACCTTGTCTTCCTGATTCGCCTACGTCACTGCGTTCAAACCACACTATTGATTTTGTAGTAAGCTTAGCTATTTCTATCCAGACTTACGAAGGAGGTACTAGTAGTGATCACAAATCAATATTAAATGTTCTTTCTTGTGATGGTAAGAAAAGAAAAGTTGAACGTAATGTTCGTTGGTGTGTATTTCGTAACTTCTCAAAAGAGATACAAAGCTGTCCTAATTGACTTTGCAAGATCAAACAACATCAGAAGCGGGGCGGTGAAACTGAGTGTGAGTTCACGAAAAAAAGTATCTCTTTTGAGACGTAGCCGTGTATTTTCCTTCTTTCTATCCTTTGTCCTCAATTTTTGGCAAAAGGAATGGATTTGTAGTGATTTTGACTCTGTTTATACAAACTATATTATTTCCCTGTCTCTTCTTATTGCTCGATGTACATTTTATTTTCAATTAGATAAAATACCGAGTAGCTATTCCACTACAATTTAGACTCGAACTATCGTATTGTTGAGCCTTATCTTTTAGAGCAAAAAGAGTGGATGACATGCAGTTAAAACTTTTTGTGAGTAAGTTTGGTAAAATGTTAAAGTGGAAATTAAAAGTCTTAGTAGTAGCTCAACTTGTTAATACTCTAGGTGAGCGTCATTTAGCCCATTCAAATTCAGTCTCTTTTCGATCCAAAACAAAACGCTATTTCAAACCTATTTCCTCTTCTTTGCATGGTTTAATTTTGAGTTCCGGGGAGACAGTGCGTGAGTCTAAGGGGATGGCGGAAATTGCTGCTAACCACTATCAAGAATTATTCTCTGAACCAGAAGTAGTTAGACCACATCCTTATGTGGATTCTCTGTCATTAGTATGGGACAACTTTGACGAAAAAATCCTTCCAGTTTCATTTAAAGAAGTGATCAGAGTAGTCTCATCTAGAAAGAAAAAACGCTCATGCAATGCTCATGCTTTGTCTCCATTTATGTTGAAATTTTTACCAATTGAATACCGGTCGTTGTTTGTGGGTCTCCCTAATCTCTCTTTTTCGTCATTTTTTCTCCCTCCTTCTTGGAAAGAAGTTCGTATGATTATCTTAGCAAAAAAAAAGTCCATTTGTTCTGTTACGTCTACTAGACCAATCTCGTTACTTGATGTATTTCTTAAGATACAGGAAAAGTTATTTTTATCAAGATTTCTCGAAGTTTTACGTTTAAGAAGAATTTTACCTGATACACAATCAGGTTTTCGTGCCAATTTCCGCTTGCAAACCAGAGTGCTCTTTCTTATCGACCAAATTTCTTCGTATATGTCCAATAGCTCCCCAGTAGCAAAAGTGTTCGTGGATTTTAAGAGTGCTTTCGATCAGTTGTGGTTTGAGGGATGCCTCGGTAAGATGCTGAGATTAGGTATCCCGGAAGCATATGTAAATTGGATAAGAGCGTGGTTGATAGGTAGAAAAGCGTTTATAGAAATTGATGGATACAGGTCACGGATTTTTTCAATCTTCAGAGGTGGCCCTCAAGGATCTAGTTTTACACCAACTTTATTCATCACTTATCACTCTGACATAGGTGATTTTTTAAAAATAGTTTTAGCCTTCTTTTTTACTGACGATCTGGCTGCGGTTATGGCAGGTCGTATCGGGGTTAGTTACACCGAACAATGCATAGACTTATCGTTAGAAAAAAGACTGGCTGTTTTCTTTGATTATCTTGAATTTTATTCCTTATTGGCACTTCAGCCATTAAACTACGATAAAACTGAAGCACTCTGGTCAGCTCGAGCTATCGGCCTCCCGAAATTTAAGCTAATGTGTGGATCTCACCTGATAAGGTGGGTATGCGAATTCAAGTATTTGGGCTATTGGCTGACTCCAAAATTGGGCTGGTCGAAAATGATTAGTCACCACCCTCACCCTAAAAATTAGACAACGGTTAGGAATGATAAGATCCTGTAGAATTTTCGGCTGTACCAGTTTAAAATTGAGAAGAGTTTTATATTTTGGTTATGTACTTCCTCTTTTTACGTGGCTGTTTGCCCTTGTTCCTCTGTTTACTGGTAGGCAACAACAAGACCTATGCCACTTTTATTATACAACCTTAAAACGGACGTTTTCTTGTCCCCATTTGTCAGATTTCTTCTTCGCCTGTGTGTTTAACGAGATTTCTCTCACTGATAGATGTGTTA